AACCATCCCATGCTCACACTTGAGGAGCCCTTCAGTTGTTCTAATTAGCCTTAACAAAAGAAGACATCACTGATACCAGCTCAGCACCTCCTTCAGCCTTAGGAAGCTCTGGTTTGTACCTCGTGTGGAGCTCCTTTGAGGACACTTGCAGAATGATAGATAGTTTCTGTCCATAACCGGATGTGATCCGAGTTCTCCGTCTCTTCTTCTGTTTGATATAGTGACTTGGGAACAAGTCCACCTTCTGGGACAGTACACTGGAAAAGTCAGACAAACAAACATGAGGGTTCACACTCACCAAGTCATCTGTACCATGAACACTCACTGGCTGTCAGAGGGTGACACCCTCAGCTGCTATAAGATCTCACAGTGGGACTAAGTTTACTTGAACCATAACGGTTTCTCTGAGCTCTGCTTACAGAGCTGACCTCTAACCCCATGCTCCAGAGCAGCATCTCAACTTCAGGGTGAAGTCTCCTGTGCACAAGTTAACTGCAGAGAGCAGTGGTAGCCCAGCCAGAACACAGGTTTAACCACCTTTCAGAAGGGAGTGGAAGGCCAGGCTGTTGAGGAGGAGGGAATCGAAGGAGCCTGCTCATTGCAGATTCCACCTGCACAACAGGGAGGACAACTCACCATGCAGTCTCCTCCCAGGAAGTCTGGGATCACATCTTTGTCCACATAGTCCACCAGCCCTCCTGGACCCTGGTAGTTATTCCCACTGTAAATGAGGAACTTCTGCCTCGTGTTCTCATTGATAAAGGGACTGACCTGAAATAAAAAGTGGACAGAAGTCATCACTGTCACTGAGTGAAGTTAGAGACAATGTTTATAGCATCTCATATGGATTCTTCAGGCTCTCGACTGGAATTGCAGTCCCTAAACCTCACAAGAAATTTAAGAAGGAAGTTCTTACATTGGCAGAGGAGTCAGCAGGCATGTCCTGGTCTTGCTAGGACAGAGCCAACTTTCTTCTCAGTAGCTGGAATATCTGTGTACTAGGCTCAGTGTGGGATTTGTTAGGAGAAGGATGTTGATAAAGTACTAATGTTTTCAGTTGTGGCTGGAAGATGAAGGATATTTCCAACTTCCCTGTGTTTTACTCGTCTGCAGGTGCAAAGGACTCAGGGGGAGCATAGTAATTAGCAAACCCAAACTGGCATTTGGATATGCCAATGGAAAATTCCATATCATATCACATGACATTCAGTATATTAACGAGGGTTGACCAGAAAGCTTGGGGATTCTCTCAGATTGCTCAGGCTCTCTTTGGGGACTAGGGTTTCAGTTTCAGGACTGTCTCTGCTCCGGGACTACTAGCCAGGGAACAGGCTGGGCATCGCTCAGCAGGTGGTGAGCAACTGCACTGGGCATCACTCATCTAAATATTCCATTATTACTGCTATTATCTTTACTATTTTAATTTCAGCTTTGTTTCAGCTATTACCTCAACCCACGAGTTCTCTCACTTTTACCCTTCTGATTCTCTCCCTCACTTCCCAGGCAGGGGAGAATGAGCGAGCAGCTGTTTGGTGTTTGGCTGCTGGCCAGGCTAAAACCACCACAAGGCACCAGGCAGAACCATATCTATTACTGTTCTCTTAAGTATTCTCCAGCAGGAGATTAAAAACTATTTGTCTTTTCCCATCAACACAAAAACCCACCAAGTTTGGGCTCCACTGCTGTATGAAGATTTACAGCTTAGGTCTGACATCCTGTCCTGCCCTGGTAGAGGACAGCCACTAGAATCAATGAGCTACAGGCGCGCTACAGCTCGCTCTGCAGCAACACTGTGGCCTCTTCAGGAGTTCAGCCACAAGTTACCTGGATGCTTTTCCCTCCCTAACTCAGCAGAATTTGCACTGATTGAATTATTTAACTATTTGTATATGTATAAGTGTGTATGATCCTGCAATCCAGATTGCACCCACCAGAGTCCAGAGCACAGGAAAAACCCTGGGTGCTCGCACTATCAATAGCCTCCCCAGAGTTTCAGGGTAGTTGTCCTCTACAACCTCAATTATCCGAAGCAGGGCCTTAACTCCAGGCCGCCAGAGATGCCGCATATTTAGCCCTTCCAAGTCCACCAGACATGTCCAGGATCTAAAATAAACATGCAGAAAAAGATCTGTCAGAACTTCATTGCACACTGGCTGCTCAGTTGAAGATCCACAAAACATTTCAGTAACACCATGGGCTGTACAGGATCTAGTGAAGCCAATGAGGGAGACCAGCAGTTCCAATAAAAGTAAATTTCCACTCAGACAGCCTGAATCCAGTGAGCTTTCGTGTAAACCAGACACCCAACCCCAAAGGCAAGAACATATGCTGTCAGTGTGGAAGAGGGTGAAGGTATGCAGGCCTATTGTTAAAAATAATTCAAAAATGCAATTTAAATGAAGGGGGAATCTGGCAGACAGTTTCCTGTATTTATAAAAAAAAAAAAAGATAATTTCATGGATCTGGATTGAAATCACCAAGGTTTTTTGGAAACAGAAAAAGATGTAAGGAAGGACCAAAATTCGCTCTCATATGAAGCTGTAGAATTTATCTGCATTTAAACCCACTATCTCTGGGTACCCCAGAAACAGCCCATAACTGAGACAGAGTGCTGTCTGCAGTTTAACACCAAGGACATAATCTAAGACCTCCCCAGAAGCATTCTTCTCACCACCATGTCAGATCAAACTCTGTAAGGATACAAGCAAACTAACTGTACTAACGTGATGGGGCGGCCAAAGATGTTGGTATTTTCCTCACATCTCTTTTGTCCTTCCTCGTTAATTGACAGAACCTGAAATCAAAGAGAGTACAGACTAGGATTAGCCTGAGTATGACTGAGAAACCAGGACAGCCCAAAGATCTTATTTCAAAAAAAATACAGAAGCCAGAAATGTACCAGTTTGAGAACTTGCAGTGTGCAAAACAGAATAAGAGTCTACATTAAAAAAGCTTCTCTACTGAAAGCCTGTGCTGACCACACAAGGTACAGATATTGGAAGTCTAAGATGAAATAGAAGAGTCTCAAGTTCAAGTGTTATTAATAGAGCTGCACAAAAGGGCCATGGAAAGCTTGCAGCTAAACTGTAAATTAGCAGAAAACATCCTTCTGGCCATTACAAAAGTTTCACTTCTGTCTCTGCAGGAAGACAGAGGAGCCATGCTGTGCCAAAAATCACTAAGTCAACTTTGAGTTACCAGCCACGGAACACAGGAATCATTTGTGTCAGGCAGGTAGATTCCAGCTGCACTACACCAAGGCTTCTGAATACCCCAAAGGAACTAGAGTTCCTCAGTTGAGAAATGAAAGTACAACTTACATGTCGCAGCAGTGATTCCTCTCCCAGGGCTTTCACCAAACCTTTTGTGTCCATCTGGCCAAGACGAAGGATGTAGAGTGGTCGTCCATCTTCAAAAGAAACAGAAGGGTTTAAAGAGGGAAGTACTCTAGTCTCCCAGGCTATCACTCTCTAGTACCTTTTAGAAAAGCCACATTAAAAATTTGAGAAGGATAAAAATCAAACCCAAAGGCCACCTATCAGAGATGTTGGTTTGCACTATCTCTAATCTGCCTGGTCTGTGCCAGAGAAAATAACAAAACTACAGCAAAACAGAGTGGCTATTTACAGATGTTCACTACTCTGCTAACTTTTAAAGTGTCAACATAACTTTCTTCAAAAATCCCAGGTTACTTATGACATCCTTTAATGCAAACTGAGCCACAGTGTCAATGTAAGGGGCAGCTTCTAACCTTTGTCTTGGTAATGCCATCCTCCAGTGTAGTATTCATCCAGGAGGGCTGGGGGCCTCCATGACTGCAGGATATAATCCACCTGGTACTGCTTTCGCCAAGACAGTGATTGGCAGAGCATTTCTCGAGCTTTTTCAATGTTGAAGTCACGAGCCCGCAGAAATCTAAGGATATGTTCATCCTTGGGGATCTGGGAGAAGAGAAAGTCTGAGGATCAAGAGTGGTACATTACCTGTACCACTGTACCACCTTTTTTTTTATCTCTTAAAACTAAAATAACAAATATTAAACCTACATTTCTTCTTCCTCTCTCCTTAACTAATCCAGCTGAACACAGCAGATGGTGCTAGGAGCACAAAGAAGTGACCAATCCATGTCCCTTCGAGAAATACGGTCTTGATACTTGTCCAAGTACTGTGTACACGCAGGCACAGCCCATGAGAAACCTTTCACTGACCCAATTGCCAGAAGCCCCAGCAAACTCTGGGCTGGTTAAAGTTTCCCTCAGCTAGCTAACAAGGATAAAATACTGAATGAAAGTAAGAGCTGCAAGCTGACCTCCCCGTAGGGCAAATCAGCAGAGGATGGAAAGCATCCACAGGTAACGCGTTAACCAAGTTAAGCACTCGCCGTTTGGAGGGGGCTCACAACAGAACAGTCTTTGAATGATGACCCACCAAGACCAATTTCAGCTCCTGTGCAGGCCCTTCCTCTCTTCTGCTGCTGACCATGCTTCCCTGGTGTTGTTTGAACAATGAGGCTTTTGGGTTCTTGCACCACCACATCATACCAGTTCTTGCCAAAACAAACAAATCACCCAAAAGGACAATATCCCCTCTCTCTACCGCTCATCTCACTTTCTATCAGTAACTCCAGCACCACGGCCACAAAAGCCTTCCCAAGCCAGGTCTGTAGGACAGCTTATTCCAACCTCCTTCTAAATCTCCTGTGTTCCCTTTAGCTGATAAATCCAAGAAAAATTGCCAGTAACACCAGTTTTTTTTCAATAACCCCAATAGATTCCACAGAAACACCAGATTTGACTAAAAGTCCGTCAATTTGCCAAAACCACGGGATCAAAGCTGCTGATTTCTCAGTCCTTTCACCCTAGCTCCCCTAAAAATGTTTGACCTCATTCTCTACATCAAGTTTCCATTAAAAATTCAAGTTCTGTGAAGCAGGGATAGTCTCCTCCAGAGGATCTGTACTGTGCTGAGCACAATGCAAGCCATCTGAGCCCGGCTGCAAGACAAAACAAGCACGTTCAGGAGTCAAAGCTCTTTTGTTTGTTCACTGACATGCTCATGAAAACAGAAAGCAGGGAAGAAAGCGAAGCTGTCAGCAGTGTCAGGCTAGGAGCAACTTCAGTTTCAGAAGCTGGTATGAAGCTGCAAGAGATATTAAGAATTGATTTCACATAAAGAAAGAGTTCAGGCAGCCTAAAGCCAAGCCTAGAAGCACCTAAAGAGGAAATGGAGATCAATGCTGTTCAGAATATTCTAAACCCTCTGCAAATACTGCATTTGTACATCACAGAAAGGAAGAGAGCAACCTTCCCACATAGGATCTCAGATGTATTTAGAACATCACCAAGATTTTCCGCATCGCAGCAGAATTTTCATCAGATTATTTACATCTCTGCTGCTCAGAGGAAGCTGTTGTTCACAAGACAACAGATAAAACCCACAAACATCTGCAACGGCCCCTGGATCTCCTGTAAGCTGCAGAAGAGGGGATGGCTGTTGGGAGGTTTTGCTATTTTTCATGTTTTAAAGCTATACTGTACCTAGCTACAGGTCAGGGACAAATTCAGCACTTGAGTTTGGACCAAAGGTGGGGAGCTCCAAGGGACTTACTCCACTAAGTGAAATTGGCCTCTTCATTTTCTTTGTCCAACCAAAGCAATAACTGCCATACACATGCAAATGAAGTTTTAATTTCAGCCTGTTTTTCTATTTACTAGTGAAACTACATGTACTGTTCTACATGGGGCAAAACAATCAATTATTAACTTTAAGTATCCACAATTTTAACACCATTTTAAGTTGTTTTTAAAGCAATGATAAATCTGATTAGAAAGAATAATGTCTGTTTTGGAAGGAAGAGGGAATGGATAGTGAAATAGAATGAAGAAGACAAAAATAAGAAGGGACAGTTTCCAAGAAACAGGAGATCTACAAATATTTTTTAACAGAGGAATAAGGACATTCCTTCTCTGAATTAAAAGAACAGATTGTCACAGGAAGGTAACAGCCTCTCCAGAGAAAACTCAAATCACATAGGACAAGCTCCTGATTTTGTATTATTCTGACAGGCAATCAAGAGAAGCAAAAAAGTGAGTAGTAAGGGGATTTAGGATGAAGTTTCAATAGCCAGCATCATCCTTCCTCCTTGTTCAAGACCATGTAGGGCTCACAAAGCCTACGCCAAGGGTCCAAGGCAGCTCCCAGCTGTCACTAAGAGCACTCAGCTCTGCCTTGCCAAGGTACCTAACACAGCAAGCAGCTGTCAGAGAGCACAAGGGCTTGTACACTCACAGAGCTCCGAGCACCCAAGAAGCAGTTGTTTCACTTTTTCCTCACATGCTGTCACCTTTACCTTCTCCAGCTTCCACTCCCCAGCCTCTGACTAGGAAGAGGAGAAAAAACAACTCACAGAACAGACATTTAGAATGTGCTTCTACCACCTGAAACCGAGACCCTTGCAGATCACACATGGATAGAGTCTCATTGTCTTACTCCTGTCTAGGGCTCGTTTTCAGCTGGATACCCAATAGCCGAGATATCTCCTACCACACAGGAGTCCACACTGTTTTACTGGACAGATCACTGTAGAGCTGAACAGCTTCATGTCCTATATTTCAGAGCATAACTACACCTGGGAATTCATCCCAGCCTGCTTTGTTCCATATCTGCTTGTTGTCAAGCCCCTTTTATCTGACAGGAGGTTGAATCCGGGGAGACATGGATCACAAACAATATTTAGTAGACCAAGTTAACTACTAAATTAATAAGTTAATCTGTTATTATTAGCAGGTAACCATCCACACAGTTCACTCACACAGTTACCTCGTTAGTTGGAGGCCAGCCCCAGCTGTTTACTCAGAGGCAGAGCATCATAGCAACTTGATAATACCTAAAGGTGGGTGTTCAGAGAGTACTTCAAGGGCTTCTTTGTTCCATCAGGTGTGTGTATATACATATATATACACATATATACACATATACACACACACTCCTGTAGTCTTTACCCAGATCTAGCAGCCACCACACCCTCGAACACGGTCCAAGTTATACAACCTGGTGATGCTGCCATCTACAAGTGGCCTTGGACAGATTTGGCAGATGTTTGGTGTTCTGAATTTATCAGCTTTTGTAGATTCAACAGCTTTGTTAAGTCTCTGGAGCTTATTAGCTGCTGGGAGACTTTCACACACTACCTCAACACATACTTCTCTTCAGCCTGTGGTTTTCTGGTAACTTTTTCTCCATCCACATTCATAGGTACCAAAAAACCCCAGACAGGAGAGTTCTTCACAACTCCAGTAGCAACAGAACTATAGCACTAAATCTTTGGTACATTTTATTTCTACATGGGTGATACATTAGTTTTTCCAATAAAAAACAGGGGTTTAAAAATCATGTTTGAACTCAGATGAGCCATGCTGAGAAAGATACAGCAAGGCATGCAGAAAGCATCAGCAAAACTCCTTGCAAACAGCAGTCTCTTTGGAAAGGCCAGTTAAAAGAAAAAAAAATAAAATTAAAATCTTGCAAAGCCCAGGGATGCAGAGTGCCTCCTAATCCATTCTGTATGGCTGACTGAGCAGTTGGCTTCTAAGCCAGGAAGCTATTACTATTGAAACCTTATCTAGCTGTACTCTGTTTTCAAAGGAGATCACTTGTTCCAACCATGTTTTTCCTGTTTTCCCCTCTTCCTAAGCACTCTATCTACCCAGCCCACCCCACTAGTCTGTTGCTATCCTTAGTCCTTCCTTCCTTCCCACCCAATCTCTCTCCATCAGGAAACCTGGAGTCAGATCCCTTCAGAGGCATTCAAGCTGCTCTGGGTCTTTTCATTTTCTCAGCCACGTACCACTTACCTTCTTGGCCTGATACAGAGACTCCCCTTCAGCTAGGAGGAGCCCAGGCAGCTGCTGAACATCACAGCAGAGCAGAGATACATCCAGCACATAGTACCTGTGCTGCTTTTCAGGGAAAGATGTTTCTCTCTATACTAGCTGGCTAACTCCACCTGTACTTGCCCCAATCTAGTGCCCTCAGCTCCTCTATTTTGGAGGCTTACACAATGTACCTCACACCATAGGTTGAGACTGTCTCTACTTCCTGAATCCTGTGTGGTTTTGAAATAGTACATTTTGATAAAGGAGATTAAAATAAGAACAGAATGAAACCTCCTCAAAAGATTTCAGCCCTTGGCTGTACAAGCTCACACAACCTGCCTGCTGTACCACACACAGTGCACTGCTGACACACAGCAGCCAAGAGCTCAGTGCTACCCACTGCCTCTCTGCTGAGCAGCATCTGCCCAGGGACAGGGGACACACCACCAGTGCAGCTAACCATGCCTCCCACCCCAACCTGCAGCTCTTGGGAAACACAACTCATCCAGACAAGCCAGTCTGGGCCACCAAGCCCCAGTCCATGCTAATCTGAGTACACAGCAAACACACTGTGCTCGGGGACCAACCTGCAGCTCTTGGGAAACACAACTCATCCAGACAAGCCAGTCTGGGCCACCAAGCCCCAGTCCATGCTAATCTGAGTACACAGCAAACACACTGTGCTCAGGGACCTCCGAGTGGCCTTTTCAATACTGACAGGACTGGACTGGGCAATGCAGGAGCAGCCTGTGACACTGCTGGATCCTGCAGCAAGGTCACACAGGCTGTTCTCCACGCCTGGCCTTTTACCTAACCTTGCCAAAACAACTGAGTCTCAACACACAGATTGTCTCTGACCCTGAGTTTGACTGAAGGGTTGAAGGCACACAGGCTATGAGAACAGCAGCGTCCAGGCTTGCAGAGGGCTGCTCTCTGCCTCACCTACCCACCTTGCCTTTGTGCGTTTCTTGAAGCCACTGGCGAAGGCGGATCAAGCAACTCTCTTGCATGGGAGTCAGCTGGCCCAGATATCGCTCGATGTAATCAGCATCCAATTTGTCAGCTGGAGGAAGAAGGGAAAAAAAAAAACCAAAACAATTCAGAGGAGACTTGGCACAGGCAGAAAGGAGATGTGCAGTTATTTCTACACATCAGGTTACTTATGATTTACACTGGAAAAGCGCAGAAGGCCTCATTTTAGCTGCCTGAGGGAAGTGAGTGATAATCTCACAGTGATTAGGGCGTGAGGACACAGACAGCATGTAAGGTATCAAAGCTAGATCACTCTGTCTCTTAGAACACTAGTATTTCATTCAATCCTGAACTGCTCCAGCAGTAGCTTAAAAAAAAAAAACCCAACCAAACCCCCAAAACAAACAAAAACAAAACAAAAAACCAATAAAACAAAAAAAACAAACAAAAAACCCTCACAAAAAAAAACAAACAAAAAACCAAACCCCAAAACCCCAGGAGCCCTGGCACTCATCCCATTAACCACTCCAAGACCTGGGCACTTAAATCTCCTGGTGTCCTAAGGATCTCACACACAATTCCAATGACAAGAGGCTAAAAAGTAGATAGCTGAAAACTTAAATGTTACTCTGCTTATGGACACCACAGGGAAAGGGAGAATAACACTATCAGTTCTGACAGCAAAGGAGATTTTTAGCATGAGATGTCCTGTGCACACCAGCAGCTCGAGGTCCCTCCAGATCAGAGACAAAGGACAAGGGGTTTGTGACTGCCAGCATTCAGAGACAGGAGCAGATGTGTCATCTGAGGTTTGCATGTGCTGATGCCAGCAAGGAGAATGTGGTTCCCAAAGGGGAGCAGCACAGGCCAGCAGCTGGGCTGCAGGCACGCAGGCACACGAGGAGGAGGGCTGGGAGGAAGACCTCTGAGCTCTTCATCAGGCAGGATTTTCTTCAGCAGATACCATTAACTATAGAATAAGGCCCGGACACCCACAAGATACACCACTGCTGACTGATAACACAGAAGTTATATTTGATAAATGCTGTGCCCCCACCAAATCCACAGAGCTAGCAAACTGGGGAGCAGGCACAGGGAAGCTGATCACCTCCTAAACATGAACATAAGCAGAAAAATAAGAACTACTCTCCTCTTCGGCTAGATGGGATCTGCCATTTTTGGATTAATTTTAATCTCAAAGCACATGAACATTTCTTAGTCAGCTCCTCTATGGATTTCTATCCTTTTTCCAGATGGATTCCAATACACAGAAGCTAACAGAGAAGGTCTGGCAAGCCCAGAACCATTGATAGTTCCCAATTCCCAGCTTTTTCCCTAGTTACACTCAGCAAAGTGATGTCTTTCCTTCTGAGGAGTGACAACACTCCTATTTCTAATGCCATAGCTCTAAATTAAAAAGCCCCTCCTGTTTCTTTTTGTCAGAGAAGAATTTTGTTTAGTCTGTTTCATCAGATCAACACACAGAAAGATAAATTCCAATTCAGGAATTTTGTTTAAGAAGTGCTTTAGGTAACATTCTGCAAGTTTGGCTTGGTATAGGGGGAAAAAACATCCAAATCAACCCAAAAGATTAACTTTGAAACAGCCAAAATATTTCATTGTAATTCAATCAAAGTGTACTTTAAGCTTCTCCAATTTAAGGTGTAAAATACCTTAAAGGTTAGATCAAACCCAAGTTGGTTTTTTTGTTTGTTTGTTTTCTAAGTTCAAAGAACACATACTGCCTGTACAGTTTTTTTTGGCTTTTCTGTTTTGGGGGGGGAAATTAAGTTCCATTTTTTGTGTTTTTCTGGAAGAAAGAAAATAACTTTCCCTCCTCCCCACCCACAAGCCAGAAGAGAAATCTCAAAAATAAATAAAAATAAACTCATTATTCAGTGCTACTCAAGGCATCTCGATTGCCAGCAGCTGCTACTGCCTGGACAGTGCATTACCATCAGGGCTGACAGCTTCTGCTGGAGGGCAGGAGCTGCCAGTTTGCTCTTTGGTAGTTCCACGAGCCCCAGACTCAAGTGGTCTATCATCAGCATCACATCCAACAGCCTGGACTCGCTCATCCTTCTGCCCAGATGCTGGGGGAGGCGTCCAGCGAGGGATGAAGGTGATCCCTTGGGAGATGAGCTCCTTCAGATAGTGTTCAATCACTTCTTTGCCCTGAAGCAGAAAACTCTCATTAGGAAAAAAAACCAATCCCATCTCCCCAGAACCAGCAAGGTGCAGAAGAGTTTTCCTCAGGACAGATGACTAATACTGTTAGAGAAGGGAAATAGTTGTCTCCTTCCATCTGTGTGAACCTGTTGGAAAAATTTCAGTATGAAAGCACCATACAAATGGTGAATTACAACCCTGGCCAGGCAAATTCCAATGCTCGGGATGCAAGTACCCTTATAACACTTTTATCCCGTTCTCCTGCTCCCAAGCCATCAATTATCTGCCCTGTTCATCTGCAGCCCAGAAGAAAAGGCCACCAAAAAGAAGTGCTTCTGCCCAAGCTACTGCAGAGACAGGGTGCTGATTTTTACTCAGAACTTTCTCTTCCTGCATGAGAACAGTGTCCTCAGTGTCTGAGGAGCCTGGCACCCACAGCACCCACTGCGATCCTCCTCTGGCACAGCCTGCTCCCTCCCCTGCACAGACACATTCCAGGGAGCAGATTGTTTTTGCTCATTGCACACTGGCTTTTTCTTCGTTTGCCCTACTGAGGTATTTCAGAGACACATGTGAGGGTATAAAACCATACTGGGTCTATTTTACAGCAAAGAAAATAGAGGCACACTGAGAGAAGGGGTTCGATTTCTTTTTGTAATGGCCCAAACTTACCCGCTTGATGTTTGAAGTGTACTGCTTCATGGCAATTTTTTCTACTGTGCTTTCAAAGCCAAAAAATGACTTGATGTCAAGAGATGCAGACTGTTCAAAGCAAGTCCACTCTTCGTTCTCAGGGTGAACCTAAGCCCAAAGATACACACAGGGTTGGATAGTAGCAGATAGTTCACATCATGGCAGGGCCCTCACCCTTGGTATCATAGAATCCCAGAGTGGTTTGGGTTGGAAGGGACCTGAAAGCTCATCCAGTTCCAACCCCCCTGCCAGCAGCAGGGACACCTTCCACTAGACCAGGTTGCTCAAAGCCTCATCCAGCCTGGCCTTCAACACTTCCAGGGAGGAGCAGCCACAGCTTCTCTGGCCAACCTGGGCCACTGTCTCACCACCCTCACAGTGAAGAGCTTCTTCCTAATATCTCATCTAAACCTCCCCTCTTTCAGCTTAAACCCATTTCCCCTTGTTCTGTCATTAACTGCCCTTATGAAAAGTCCCTCCCCAGCTTTCTTGTAGGCCCCAATGATATGATACTGTAGCCAGTATCATACTGGCTATTTAATCTCCAGAGCTACAGAGTGAGGGGGCAGAAGAGGCTTCCTACGAGGCACCGACAGATCCACATTTAACAGTCAGATTAATTCTCCCAGAGCAACAGAAGCACATCATGAACCGGACACCCGGATGTTTTTGGTCAACCCAGCATTCTTCATACACACAAGGAAATCAAGATTAAAACCCACCTCTGCTTCAGCACAAGTGGCACTAAAATAGCAGTGAGACTGCCCACTTGAAACCATTATGTCAAAACCTTCCTATCGAAAGACAGGGATGGCCTCTGGGAACCTGCAATTAAAACCCCTACATCTGCAGCAAAGGATGAACACAAAGCAGGTTTTTTTTTCTAGTTTTGGATAGGAAACATCCACTGAATGCCAGTCTTCCCCCCAAAACACAGCAGAAATGGCAGAGCAGCAAGTTTTCCCACTGTTAGTTCGAAATCCACTTTTCCTTTCTAGCCATTTCCCCTCAGTTACTCTCTATATAGTGAAAACCTACATAATCTTTTCCTCTTTTATACTTAACCCTGTTCGGAGAGGGCTCTGCCTTTTCTCTGTAGGTGCTGCTGTTCACAAACTGACATGAAAGAAAAAAATTCCAGCCCACACACAAAGATCCCAGCTCTATAAAGGACACACATTCCCCCAGGGGAGATATTAAGTAACTGCAGGAGTGGGATCATATTTCTCCAAGTTGCTTCAGAGAACACTGCAGAAAAGGAAAGATGAGAATAAACCTGTTTCCGGTGCACTCTGGCAGGGAAAAGGGAACTGGTAAAAATAGAGCAGGGAACCATTTGGAGGATGCAGACAGCTCGCTCCTGCCCTGTCCCAGGAAGAGCGCTCCCCTCAAAGCCCAGCTGCTGATGTTTCCTTCCGAAGGACACGAGCTGGAGGCAACACAGCCAAAATCAGCAAGTGCAACCATGTTCAAGGGACTCCAGAGCTGACCTGGGAGCATTTCAGACCTGTCAGCGCCTTTCACAATGATGGAAGTTTGATTTACTGTGGTTTTTAGGAAGCCTCATGTAGCCACCAAGTCATGTTTGGCTCAGGAAACTCCCACACCACCCAAAATGTTAATAGCTTCTCAATTCTTTGTCTTGCTCAAAACAGAAGCTACTTACAGTTTGCTTACTCCCAAGAAGCTGAGCTGTTGTCCAGTTGCCAAAAGGGCAGGTAAGTAACAGGATCTGGACTTTTGTTTAGGGAACAAAAAGCAGTATCTGATTGCTTCCAGAAAAAGACGAAGCTATTTAATGGTGACTGAGCCCTAATAGCACAATTATAATGAAACAGCACACCATTGCTGAAGATACAGCCATAAAGTGAAATATCCCAGGCCACAAATACAGCTCAGGACCTTTCTCCAAATATTTAGAGTATGAATACCATGACAAGATGCTAAAACTTTCATTTATTAGCGGGCAAAATTGATTGTCAGACTTTACTCTGGTCCTCAGAATAATAAATACTAAAGGTTTCCTTTGAAATATCCAAATCTAATACATGTCCAAGCTCCAGATACTTTTATTAACTTGAATTTCAACCCAAAAGAAACTCAGGGAACTTAGCCAGTTCTGGAGCACCATCTGTGTTTTCTACTCTCACCCTACGGCCTAACACTCCAATGGCCTTGCAGTCCCAGCGTATCTCATCGCAGTACACAACTGCCCAGTGTTCAAATCCATTCCAGCAACTTCAGCCTCTACATTAGGACATGACTTTCACCACTCCCTTCACAGACAAGTAGAAACAAGGCACTCACTGAGTAGCTACACGTCTCGAGGACGACAACGCGGTTGGCAAAAGTCTCATTGTGCGCTTCGATGCGGAGAGTTCGCTCTTTCCAGTTCACTGTGTTTTTCTGGATGAAGAAAACATATTCTACCCCTGCAATCTGAGGAGGATGAAGAACCAAAAAGAGGGGAAAAAAAAAAAAAGAGAGAGAAACTTTAGGAGACTTTATTAATCTTAGCCAGCCAACAAAATGCATGACTGTACCTTCCACTTGCCTTCTTTAGCAGCCTGGGAGCATCTACGTTCAGTTTGCAGCTCCGTTCGATGATATGTATAGCTCCATCGTCACTCCTGGATTCATGCAGGATTTCACTCCCCAGGAACACTGGGATCTCTGGACATGTAGGAAAACGTTTCTCATATGCCTGGAAGTGAAAACAAAACACATTTCAACTTCTGGCTAGATTAATTCTTTGTGAATTCATTATTTCCCTTCCAGTAAGAGTTCAACAAAACAGGCGCCCTTCACCTCTGAGAGAAGAGGAGCCAACGCGGGGGTTGAAGGTAAAACCAAATAATTATGAGCAGAGCCAGCATCCGCTCACATCAGTCATTGAGCTAAACATGTCTTCATATAACTTTTCTTTCACACATGAAGTAGAAACAAAAGCTTGTTGCTAAAGGGTACTGGGAAGGAACTCCTAATAACTTCAACATCAGGAACCAAATCTTCAGCTAAGCATTAGCAAGCGCAGCTCTGCTGATTTCTGCTAGCTAAGGACTTGACCCAGAGATAACAAAATTGGTGTCAGGCACATCGCCAGCATGAAGAAGCTATTTAAAAATATTAAACACTCCCGTGCCTTAAAAATGTGATGTGTCAAACAGTTCTAACTGCCCCAAAATATCAAGGGTAAGATGACCAGTTACTGGCTACTCATTTGGCCTTGATTTATCCATTTCTAAAACAACTCTGCCCTGGTTTTGAAATCTTCCTTGTTTTAATTAACCCACTTGCCTCTGAAAAGCCTTTTATCCAGAGCTTCTTTACCAGCTCTAGTAAACATCCAGTTTTCCATGGCACTTGCAGCAAAGTTCACTTGCATAAGCGCTACCTACTGTTGCTCCTCTTTCCCCAACTTCTTCATCCCTCGTTATATCGCAAGATTTTTGCAGGATGGAATGTTTTCCTTGGATTTCTGAAAAATGTTTTGCACCTTGGGATGCTATTGTACATGTGTCAGTGAAGCAGCACTAGCACAAGCTGCAGAAGCAGCCCAGGATTCAACCACAGCCATGGCAGGAGGAGAACCCCTGCTCTCTTCCCGTTGCACTCACAGAGAACTACACTGTTTTTAAATTATTATTATTATTATTATTATTTTTGCTATCATTCCACAGCTGAGCCTGACCTCTAAGAACTGCTGCCATCCTCCCATCTTTTGTAAGATACAACCATTTTATATATCACATAATTATCTCACAAGTATTTATATCTACCACAAAAGAAAATATGAATGTGATAACGATGGAGATGAGCTCGGTTGGCAGCACACGCGTCGTGCTACGGGCATACTTGGGGGTGGCTGCATTCTCCATTACCACAGCAGTTGGAAGGCTGGTTGCCCCCGTATGTATTCATGTACCCTCGTGTTGTGAATAATACCTGCTCTTAAAATAGCTCAGGCACTTAAGGACACATTCCATATCTCCTGCTCCTAGACCTCTGAATGGAACAGAAGTTATGTCAGGTTATCATATTGCTCTAGTGTCAGGAAGAAAGCACAAGCAGACTATCAGCTGGAGCTCTGGCCATAAACAGTGCCCAGGTCTTTAAATCAACCCCTCCAAGTCACTGAGTCATGTTCTGCTTGCTTTGCCACAATTCTTGGAGAGCTTTCCCCATATCTGCGAGGCCTCTATCTCTGCTTTTCACTCCTGATCACAAGGAAAACTAAACCAGTTTAGATAAACATCAAACTTCCCATGGCCAGTGAGTGTTTCCAACACCATTCCACCTGGCTCCACGCAGCAAAAGCACACTCAACGCTTTAAAAAGCTTAGTTTAAAAAGCTTAATTTGTTAAGATGGAAATTCATGGATGTATGTCAGGCACTGCAGCAGGATGCTTCCAGCTCTCCACTCCTGGGATGCTGCGTGTTCCTCAGCGGTCACAGAGCAGAGGGGTGCAGCCCTTATTCCCTGCTCTCTGATACCGGTAATTACCAGCACATGAATCTTCTCAGGCAAAGTTCATATTTCCTACTTGTGGCTCTACCTGCCCTGAACAGCCCCAGCACTCTCAGCCTGTCCTCACAGCAGAGCTGCTCCAGCCCTCGCATCATCCTCGTGGCCTCCTCTGCACTGGCTCCAGTAGCTCCATGTCCTTGTGCTGTTGGTGGCCCCAGCACTGGAGGCAGCACTGCAGGTGGGGTGTCAGGAGAGCAGAGCAGAGGGGCAGAATCCCCTCCCTCCACCTGCTGCCCACGCTGCTCTGGGTGCAGCCCAGGACATGGTTGATAAGATGGAACCGGGATTGTCCTTGTGCTTGACAGCAAATCACAAGACCATTAAAATACCCATAAAACCCAACACCTCCATTCCCACAAGGAATTCCAGGCCCTCCTTGCCCTCAGCTACCCAGCAGCACATCCCTTGCTGCCTGAACACAGACATGCTCTCCACCGCCTCAGCTCACAGCTCCAGGCAAACAGGTAACACCAAACGTTCCAGGGCTCCACATTCAACAGGCAACAACTAACCACAGGAAGCAAAGGCTGGGTCAACACCATCCATTTCTCTGGGTCAGGGTTGGCCAAGGATTCCTTGCCCCAAGTACTCATGATTTCCCACAAAGTTAAGAGGTGCAAAGCAGCTGGAGTAGAAAAACATCCCAAATAGGGCAATCCCAGCTTCTCATCCTCTGCTCTTTCAGGGGTGCAGCTGTGCCAGGAACGTTTGAGAGCGTCTGCAAAGAAACAAGAGCTGTTCTTCCACCAAGACAACGAAAGATCAAAGCACAGGTAACCGCCAAAGGCCTCACTTCAACATCCTCACCAGGAGTCCTGAGCAGTAACTGCCTCCCCACCACGGAAAGACCACAATGACCAATTTGAAGCCTCCCATACCACCACTGAATCTAGGTACCTCTGGCTCTAATTTGAAGATCAAGCCACTGGATGTCAACACACATCTGTTTCTTTCTCCACCAAGTATGCACTTGATCCAGCTGGAGAGAGGCTTCCTCATAAACTGATATTACATTTCACAGAATCCCAGACTGGTTTGGGTTTGAAGGGACTTTAAAGATCACCCAGTTCCAACCTCCCTGCCATCAGCATTTAGCAAAACCAAGACCAGGACAACTATTAACAGAGTGTGGTCGCTGCTTCAGCCAACTAAACAACATCTGGGCGATGAAGACAGGTCAGGGCAGAGAGGCACACGTCTATGCACAGCCCTGGTGGTATAACTAAGATAACAGCCCAAACCCATCGCCTAAAAAGGTGGAATATTTCTATATTTGAGGAAGAATCCCTTTTGCACACCAATATTAAGTCCTTTGCTAATCTTCTTTGCGCAACAACTCTAAAAATACAGCAGCTGAAGATGCCTGAGATCATATGAAGGACAGCTGAAGCACCACGCTGCCGTCACAGTGAAGTTGTCCTGTTAACGGGTCTGATCTCTCATCGCTGAAGGGACTGGGTTATCAGGAGAACAATCTTTGGCACTCAGCATCCTCTTATCAAAATCAGTATCTATATGAAATGGTACATTTTTGCTCCAGCAGAGAAATTGAAGGGAATTCATAAATACAGAGAAATCTCTTCCATTTTTTCAAGCCATTGCTAGAAGTAGCTGTTATTTTCCCCTCCTCTATGATTCTGCAGAGTGGGAGGTGAACAGCAGAGTGACCCAGTCAAATGAAAGGACAGGGTACTTCATTTTATTATTTTTTAAATTCTTTGGCTGTTAATCTGCCTGCATCTGCTCTTCCACCTCCTTGCTGCAGTAGCTCTGCACTGACTAGTGCAGAGGAACTATGATTTGTCTCTCACTTCTCTGCCTCTCCTTCCCCAGAAGGAATTACAGCAGTATTGTGCCACTCCACCACTGTCTCTCTAAGTGCAAAACCACAATATTGCTTTAAGACAAACACCTTATTATTATTTATATATATATATAAATCATAGAATGTTGTGAGTTAGGAGGGACC